TGGCCGGTGGTGGCGCTGTTCAATACTTCTTATGCCGCTAATTCATAACTTACGACTCGAAGGATACAATGAGGGGAGGCAATGGGGGTAGCTGGTACGGTTTTACGGGAAATAAAAAAGGCTTTTCACAATTTACGAAGAAAAAAAAGACGTTTTTACAGTTTACAGTGTTAACAAATGGAACATTGAATGAGCTCTCCGACTCAAATTCTCCACCATTGCTGCGCCGTGTGAAGAGACGCATGCGCATATTACCCTCGTAATGCTCTTCATTCGGTTAGAGGGCCTTTTACGTCTTGACATTCAATTTTGTAGTGAATTGTGTCATCTAGTCGTTTTACAGTTTCTAAAATGTAATTTCCCTGGATTATTCTTTACGATCTTTTTATTTGGATGTGAATTTTTGTACGTACGAGAAAAATGACACATTTTTACAGTGTACGAAAAAAATATTTGATTGATTACGTTGTACGTCTAGCCTGTGATTACAGAATTACGGAATTTATTTTTTCTATTTACGTTGTACGAACAAAAAAATATTGCAATTACGTTGAACGAAAATAACCCTTGCCCCCCTCTACAATGCGTTTCAAATCGAATGTGGAATTAAATAATATAAGCGAATGGTACAGTTAGAATTTTGTACATATATAACGTACATTTATACATAGTTATTCAAAGTAAATGTGTTTTATTGTCATTATTCAAATAAATCGTCAACATTTAAAAATTGACATCTATCCTGGCTTATCTTACACTTATGCCTACCGCCCTTGCACTGATGCGCACGGAAGGTGGAACGGGTAATTTGCTAATGTCATACGTTAAAGCGGGGGAGTCGTCACCTACGCATACGTCAGGTGGTCACAGCGTGTAATTGTATACAGACAAGCATACAGACACCCATGAGGTTTTGCGTTCTAATAGCGTGTGTTGTTATCATCGCTTGGGATTCAATTCCCGCGCGTGCTTAGGTGACGACCCTCCCGCTTTAAATTGTGCTTGAGTGAAATTGGTACCCCCATTTCAAGTTCGGCTAACTGTCCTCCGAATCCAAGCCGACCCGGAAGACGAAGTTCCACATTGATGATCTTCGGGAATTACTTCACGCACTTTCACAACCAGAGGGCGCTTACCACAAATGAAATGATACGGACTCGCATTCATGATAAACCACCATTCATTCATTCAATTTTGTATTGCTTTTTCAGAAAACTATACTGGATATGTAACGAACAATTGAACAATCTAGCCCATATTTATCTCATCATAACTTTTAGTACTATATTAATTTCTCAAGGTTCTTCAAATTGTGATTGAATGTATATAGTAATTTTATCAGTAAGATTTCAACATAAAGGATATTTGTAGTATATTTGTAAAACATGTCTACACTAATTTCGCTAATTCAAGATGTCACTAATTTAAAAGAAAGTTTATTCTCTCAATGAGATTGTTGACACTTAAGCGAAATTAAGATTCTGTTAATTTATGCATTGAGCCAAATTTGCAAACATAGCATGCAGCTATTTCGTGTTTTACAGTATATCTGTCCTCATAAACACATTTGACAAAATGTGAAAATAATGAGAAAGTCATTAACTTAATTCAAAAATCAGTATGGGACTGGGTGACAGGAAGATTACTAGTACATCATCTTTTGTGAGTAGCAAGTCCCAATAAGAAAATACAGAGGAGTTGATATTATACTCTGTGTATTTTTATTAAAAAATGGGAATCTCTCTTGTCCAATATGGGGGGTGTGTCTCTAATGTTGGGGGTCTGGAAAACAGAATTTGAAGTTAAGGCAATCCCACAGTTTTGTAAAGGTCAGTCGAAGATGAACATTCTCACCAAACATTAAGGCATTCTTGGTGATTAAGGACTTTTATACCAAATCACAGACTGCAATCTTAGACTTCTGGTAATTTCAAATACTGATTTTTTAATAAAATATAAATGACAAAAAGAAGAATCAATTATAATAACAATATTTCATTTTTATTGACACTAATCAAAGCATGGCATTTTGAGACATTTCATCAGACAAGCATATGGTGGCGCTATTCATTGATGAAAAAACACCACAAAATGAGTCAAGTATTAAAAAGTGTGAGTCATTCAGAGCTGTTCAGGTAAAGTGATGTCACCCTGTTAATATAATTGAAAAAAAATTGTACAAGATCCAAGGTTAAAGTTATTTTAATAATGATGCTCCACAACATGGTGGATGTTCCCATGATGCATCTTACTTATCAATTGAACAATTTTGCAATAGATTGTTGACATCAGTCAATAAGGAAAAGCATCAGTCAGTAAGTGCACTTAGGAAAGATGCATCATGGGAGCAGTGTGCCCTCTAAGTGCAATGAGATTTACTGTGACACAAATACTCATGCTCATTCTCTGGCATGTTATTGATGCAAAGGAAAATCACACACTGACATATTGATCTGAAAAAAATACCATCTTACTGTTGGAATTTGTTTTGGGTAAAATGAAATTCACATTTTATAAAGTTATAAGTTTTATAAAGTGTACCGGTAAATCAAGGCCACAACATTATAGTTTTGCATCTTTAGAAATCACCAACAGGCACATATTTCTCTTGAACTCTTTCCCTAGCTGACCTAACTTTATTTTTGAGATTCTATTTTGACACAAAACCCCTACAAAATTATTGTGTTAGAGGGCCCACTGCTGGAGAGTACCTCAATGTTGTAGTGCTTCAATTATTAAATTAGCCCTCAGACCACTAATAGATGTCTGCAATTAACAATAGCTTGAGGCACTCATGACAGTACCACCATATGGTAGGGCTTCAAATGTTGAAGTCACAAAATAGTTTCTAAAAGATGTTTTCAGGGTATATGGACCACATACTTACTTGAGCTAAGACTATCGCAGTGTTGATATACATTAATATCTAATCACATAAAAATACATGTATTTACAAACTGTACAATATATATTCTAATTCTGGAATTATAATATAACAACGTAATAAACAATTATTTATAGCAAAAGAAATGGAAAGGGGGAGGAGAAAGACAGAGCTGAACGGTTTCAACTTATTGTTCATTGCATAACTACTGTGTCGATATTGTGTTACTGTCACTTGTTGTCACTCAAAGCTTTAGTGTCTTCATAACTTTTAATATCTTCAAACATTGTAACCATTTTAGTTACCATGTCACCCAGTAAACCGTACACCTAAAAAAATAAACATAAGTTATTGACAAGTTAATAACTACCACACGACCATGGCGCATATCATTCACAATTGTGACATTTAGTGTAAATCACTAGCTGGTACACGACAATATTAATGTTGAATGTCATCATTTTATGCAGCGATATAAAAATAGGAATACAAGCTGCAAAAGAGTTTCTATATATACAGGTTTTTCATTTAGCTACACAGGTTTGATATGGATCTCAGGTGAAATACATGGTAGATGTAAATACATTGCTGAGTAACAAATGACTCTTTGCAATGACCATCAAGAATTTATTAAAAAATTGATGTAGATAAAATGAGAGAGTATACAATGAAACACTACACACTGCCACTCATTGTGTGCTCTTACCTGTACATATAATTTTGTTCTATATTTGTTATCCAAGACTGGATCTCCTGTTTCAGATACTGGTGTACCATTCAATGCAAGCTGCGGACTGCGTAGATCAGCCCTCTCACTGTGTGCTGCTTGTAAATCTTTATTGCTGACAGATTGCGGTGGAGTTGGAGCTGTACGAGACTGTGTTTTAGAACCTTTACCCTTGCTTTTTGGACGATCTTTTTCTTTTTCCTGTAGACAAGAACTAGTTTTATATATTTTGAAGCAAAGGAAGCATAAGAATGATAGTAATAAATATGATTCCAGCTTGGTATTTATCATATTGCAACAGATGTTATATATTGAGAACGCTTCCACCCATATTAACCTTTTCACCACGTTTCTCACCAAAATGTTTCGGCACTTTTTTTTTTTTCTTCACATATTTTTTGAAAT